TTTGTTTGATAATAATAGAAGAAAAGCAATAAAATACAATGGATCCTCAATTGGAGAGGAAGATCCCGCTCTCTCAATCTCTAGACGCCGCTAGAGCCCAAAACAAACTTAAGAATAATCTAATTTTAGCCAAAACTCATCATGCCCTAACCTTAGGGAAACAATCTACTTAAAGAAAACAATCCAAAAGGAAATCTCTAAACAACCCCTCCTTTCAAATTTCCCTCAAAAACCCTTATTTCACTTGGTTGCTGGACTCCACGGGGAGGAGCCGAACTCGTGCAGCATCTGGTAACAATACTCCCATATGGACTGGTCTAACAATACTCCTCTCCCAAAGATCCACCTTGTCCGCAAGGTGGAAAGACGGCTCCCTCCTTAGTTTCCTCATCATCGTAAACGATAAGAGCCTGAATAGTTTGATCCTTGCATCAGTGCCTCGGTATATGACTCTCCTCACATCTGAAATAGAATCCCTTCACTCTCTTCTCCTATAACTCCATTTCTATATATGAGCTTCTTGAAGTTGTCCTCATGACGTCCTCCTTCAGTATTCTTCTTCAGAATCTCCCGACGAGTACTTGGTGTGGGCTCCTTGGGTACCAAAAAGGTGGTGGTCATTCGATACGAGCCTCCTGAGCTGCTGTCTTTCATTCCTCTTTCCAGGTGTATCAGATCCTCCACAAGTTGAGCTAGCTCCATAGCCTCTCCTAAGTCACGAGGCCTCATTTACTAGAACTGCTGCCTGGATCTCTTGTGTCAGTCTTTTATGAAGTTCCCTTCTAGCACTGTCTCAGAAAAGTGGTCCAATCAGCTAGCAAGGTACTTAAACCTCTCTCGGTACTCTATCCTTGAACCATCCTGTGTCAAGGCGAAGAACTGTTTGTAGAATTCTCCTCCCTTAGTTCAGAAACGTTCTACCAAGCAATCCTTAAACTTCTTACAACTTCATATGGGTCGTTGCATGTCCCTCCACTGGTATTAAGCCAAAGCCTTCCCTTCCAAACATAAGCCCGTTGTTGTCAATCTCTCCTCCTTTGTCAACTCATTGACGACGAATTATCTTTTTATCTTATAAATCCACCCTTGTGCATCCCCCCCCCTCAAAGATTGATATCTTCAGTTTCCTCACCCTCATATCTCCTCCTTCACCCTTGCTTCTTCCAAAATTTCCCATTCCCCAAGGAGGTGGTTCCCCCCAATTGTGACAATTCCCATTTCTCCGCTCACACCCAAACCTTTCATCACCAGCCCACCTTATTCCTTTAATTTTAGCATCACTTCTTTCAAATTCAGCCCCTCTCTTTTCGAATTCGACACCTCTTCGATCATAATCAAGCCATTGCCTTTCACATTTAACGTGTCTCCTTCCAAATTCAACACCCCTCCACTCATGACCAACCCTATCTACCCGACACCTCCCTTGGAATATGCTCTAGGGGAGGTATTCCCCTTTCTCCCCCCCAGATCTTCACCTTCTGATCTTCTCTTCGCCTTATTGGAGTAGGGTTTTCCCCATTTCCTTGGTTGTCCAAGGCTTCCCTTGCCTTTGACGATGCTATTTTCAGTTGACCCCCAAGAAACTTCTTCAACATCTACCCTATGATGGAAAAATTTCCATCAATCTTCTCTTGGATGGTTGAAATTTGACTTTTGGCATCTAAAGGTTGTGTGTGGAGATCTAGATTTTTAGATTTCAATTGTCCGATCTCCCCCTCCAATGCTTCCACTTTTTTTCCTGCCATAGGTACCTGGATCTCGGCTTCAAACAACAAAAATGGCCAAAAAACAACGGTTCTAGTCCTCAAATAGCGAAAAACAACAAGATTGGAGAGGAAATGCAGCAGAAATCAGTGAAAAAGGCTTCTATTTCCATCCAGGAAATTTCTCTGATACCAATTTGATAGGAAATGTGTTAACCTCTATGTAATAACCAGAAATTACATACCTCGTACATCTGCCTTCCAAAATTTACCCCGGAACTTAGTTCGTTAAAACTCCCTCGCCGAATAAGAAAAGCGAGCGGAGGCCGGGGCCGAATTTTCGGAGCCCACAAAATGCTTGTAAGAAACAAGAATTTCCCTGACTGAAATTTAATTTCAGCACTTTGCAAATCAAAGATCGAGAAAACTTGGATGAATAAAACCAGAGAGGAACTTTTTGATTGATAATAATAGAAGAAAAGCTACAAGATACAATGGATTCTCAATTGGAGAGGAGGATCAGACTCTCCTAATCTCTAGACACTGCTTGAGCCCAAAAAAACCTAAGAACAATCTAATTTAAGCCAAAACTCATCATGCCCTAACCCTAGGGAAATAATCTACTTAAAGCAAACAATCCAAAAAGAAATCTCTAAACATTCCCTCCTTTCAAATTTCCCTCCAAAACCCTTCACTTGGTTGTTGGACCCCACAGGTAGGAGACGGATTCGTGTGGCATCTATAGAGGAACTTTTGTTATACCTCTGATGGACATAAGCCGGTCCCATATGGACCGGCTGAACCGGTCCAGCGGGCCAGTTTAAGAGGATTTAAGTGAATTCTTAATTATTAACAAAGTAATAGCAAACAATTACAAGTATTGGTGGAGAACAGTAAAATAATAACCAAGACAATATGTACTTATCCACAAGTCACACAAATCCTATGATTAACAACTAGAACAATCACAGTGAAGTTTCCTCACTCGAACTCTTCGAATAATTTTAACTGAAGAAAACTTGATACGATATTAGCAATGCTACTTAGAAGAAGTAAACATGTAATAGAAAGTTACCCAAAAAGAAGTAGTGAGTGGAATATAGGTGAGTTGCCATTGGACGTGAGGTCTTCGATGGTCAATGACGGTTGCAAGAGATAGCAACTAATATAGGAATTAATAGGGGAAATGGGAAAAGGTAGCAACAATTAGGATTTAATGGGGGAATAGGAAAAGACAATAACTCTTGGGAATTAATGGGGAAGGGGAAAATGTGGCAATTAAAGTTGAGTTAATGGGAAAGAGGAAAAGGTGGTAATTAAAGTGGAGCTAATGGGGAATGGGAAAATGCAGTAATTCGAGTGGAGCTAATGGGGAAGGGGAAAATGCAGTAATTAAAGTGGAACTAATGGGTAAGGGGAAAATACAGTAATTAAAGAGGAGCTAGAGGGGAAGGGGAAAATGCAGTAATTAAAGTGGAGCTAATGGGGAGAGGAATAGGAAGAGGTAACAGCTCTTGGGGAAATCAATGGAGAAGAGGAAAAAGGTGGAGGGACTACCAAAAGGCAATGGAGTGGGGGTTGGCCGGCAATGGGAGGAGAGGAAGGGTGGGCTTGCAGGTGAGTGGGAATGGAAGAGAGGGGATGTGGCTCGGCTGTATGGGGCAGTAGGGAACTTAGACCAACTATTTGGAAGAGGGTTGGAGGTTTTGGCAACCAATGGAGGAAGGTGGGGTGAGGATGGAGAAAAGATAGAGCCAAGAACATTGCCACGGCGCCGGTTGTTAGGTGTTACGTTTCCCTACTTTTAAGGCTTCACTCTTCACTCAAGAAGACTCAAACACACAATTCAAGAAAACTGGAGTCTAATTCATAATAATAATCATCTTACTACAATAGCCAAGGCCTCAATATATAAGCCTCAAAACATGAAGGATTGAAAAAACTAAAATGCCCCTTGGGCTACAATACTCATATAACTCATCAAATGGGTAAACTGGGAAAGACTCATAAAATAAAATACAATAATAAGTAAAATGCAGAAAATATACTATAATAAAGACTCCTAAACATGGTCATCGATCTGCAGCTCCTCTTGTGGTAGACGCGCTAGGTTTTTTTGTCGATGTCCTCATCATCTACAAATTGGTGCATTGTCAATAATTATTTGAACTACATTCTCCGAACCCATCCCAATCACTTCTTTGATTTGATTTTGAATGTAGAACTTATCTTTATATTTGCTTTCATAATTAATGACTTTTATGAATATGGACACATATTATGTTACCGCCATGAAATTAATTAGAGGCCTTCTTTTCTGTATCTATCCAAGCATCTCAAACAATATTAATACCCTATTGCAAGTATCTTTGATTTTGCTCATAAATTCTTTTAATATTTACTCTTTCATTTTGAAGCATTATTGTCCTTGAGAGATATAACTAGGAGTATATCCAGTGAGTGAGGTAAGCATTAAAATAGTAAGGATTTCTAACTAAATGAATGGGAAGGGTTCTTGACTAGACCATGTGAGCAATTTATGCATGCAAGTGAGCTCTAACTTGCAAATTAAATGCTCTTTCAATGGAATTAGAGCCTGATATTTTCCCCTATTTTAATTTATAGCCTTTGATCCAAAATAAATATCCACTTGATTGTGAGATGTGATAGTGTGAGATGGCGAGTGTCTTCAACATACAGTAGAGAAGAGATGCCGAGTGGCTTTGATGAAGAGGAGAGGCAAGAGTGCGAGATTGAGATGGTCATGGCTAGAGCATACAAACAATTTAGAGCTACAATATATATGAATTAGAATTTGTTTTGAGTTCCAGCTGGGTCCAACCCGTATTGGATTTCAATTTTTAATATAAATACCCAGGACATTTTGTGAAATGTCAAGCATATGTTGGGGTGTGTTGGAGGAAGGTGATTTGGAGAGATTGTGCTTCGCTCAAATATGTCTTCCAAACCTCAAAATTCCAAAAAAATTATGAAATATCATTCAAATTTGAACTCTTCTCCTCACTCCAAGGATGCGTCCTTTTTTCATACATGAAACGAGCCTTCCATTTTACCCTATTGGAAAAAATCATTTTCTTCTTGAAATCATAAATAATTCTTCATGCGCTAATTGCATTTAATGCAAAAACCTTTCCCAGTGGTCGGCTGCCCCTTAGTAGTTCCCCTAATATATCATGTTTCCTCGTATGTGAGACTACTAATTATTTTGGAAAGATGGATGAATAATTTTTTTTTAAAGAATATTATTATTATTTTTTAACTTAGCCAAAGAGATAGATGTGCTTGGAGATCTAATTAATGATGATGGACTATCCATGAAAAGGAGATTTAGCTCTAAGAACAGATTCATATCGAAGTATTGCCCAGGGATTCCTCTTGTTCTATCGTCTCTGTAGAAGGCTGAGCAAGATTGTGGAGAAAACCGACATGCCAAATGACTGTTTCTGAAGTTCATCTATATATTCTTTGTTTTCTTTCTTTTTGTCTTTATTTCTATAAAAAAATGTAGGGTGAATTTTTATTTTTATCTTACATTAGTTTGGTATCCAAGCAAGTTGATCTTGCAGTCATGGAGTTTTATTTTGTTATGTCAAGTTTATTTTGATGAGATCTTGTATCTTCGAAGAGAATTAAAACTTTGATCAAATTTGATATATTAATGGGAAAGATAATTTGATCATAAATTGAGGACATTAAGGACAAATGGAAGTGCTACTTCAAAAAAACTGCTTAAGTTACCAAACGAGAGATTTAGGAAGGCTGATGGAAGGTTCTATGGCAATTTGAGTAACTTTTGTGGCAATATTTGTGTTATTACTTTTATCGATCATGAAAAAACCATATAAAGAGTATTAGAGTTGATCTAATTGACATTGATGATAATGCATGTCAAAAGGTACTTTGAGATTATTAATCAGGATACACTTTGTCTTGTATTAAAATTATTTGTTGAGTCATCGAGGAATTCATCACCATTAAGGTTATAGTAAGGATTATCACTAATTTCATTATCCTAAAAGAGCAAGTTATAATAGCACTTACTGATTGTTGGGTTGTAAAAAATATGCATTTAGTTTGGGCATGCAGAACAAAAAACAAAGAATGAACCTCTAAGGAGGGAAATATAATTCATGCGAAAGAAATAGAAAGGAATAGGAATAGACAATAACACGGTCAAAATTTACATTTACATACAAAAATTAGAAATGCTACCACATTATCATTATTATTTGTCTTATCCTAAAAATTTGGATTTGATTTTATGAATCATTGTTCATTCATTTTTGTTTAGAACAATATGGGGTGTCAATTCTATTTTGTGTAGCTATTTTTTCGTAATTTCTAATCCTCTTTCCTTTGGTCTAGTATCACTAATAGGGTTGTTAATTTTATTTGGAACTCCCTCGGGCTTTAATCAATTTGAAATTATATTGATTTTCTTTGTCTCAAATATAGTTAGCTGTAAATCTGCTTGATTCAACTCAAAATGAACTTAATTCATATAAAAAGATGCATTTAAGTGTGGGCCTTCACTTAAATATATTATAAAAGGATAATATATAAATTTATTTATATTTAATACAATATTTTCATTCATACTTATGTTATATATAATATTTTTAGAAATTAAGTACGCATGTGTCTATATATATATAATGCATTTATTTTTTTTATTTAAATTATTTTTTTTCTCAAATCAATTTAAAATTTAATTTAGAATGCATCATTTTCAAATCAGACTCGAAATTGAACTTTTTACTTCATGTTGAGGCTAATCTTTTTCAGACTTGACTCAACACTATCCATATTTTCCAACTTAATCCTTCCATATTCACTCTCCTTATTAGTTAATTTTTTGCATTTCATTATATACGCCTAAATTAACTTTTTTTCACGATCTTTTCTTCAATAGCTATTATCCCATTCATTTTTAATTAGATATTTTTCTCTTTATCTATCATAATCTTACAATCCATCTTAATATTTTTATTACTGAAACATAAAAAAGTTTTGGTTAGCCAAGAATAAACACCCACATAGTATAGTAGATCTAATTACGTGATAAGAAAATTAGCCTTTCGCATAATACTTCTATAGTCTGTTTTCAAGTGCCTACTTTTAAGTTTTACGTCATCATCTATATTTAATAATAGATTTATTGGCACCCTTAAGCCAACGTGACTTACAAACACTGCATTAAGCACCAACCTAAGCACTGACGCAAATGAAGTGAGATATTAAAAACATTTTTCCTTTTTTCTCAATAAACTTCAATTTTGAAGAAGACTTCTGAAGAGTGTAAAATGAATTCATCTCAGTAAATAGTTTTAGGAAAAATAATAAATTGTAGAACTTAGTTGCACCCCAAGTTCCAAAACTTTATTAAATAAACCACCTTAAAGAGGTAACTGACTGAAGTTTGTAAAATTCATAACCTCCGACCTTCACTTCTTTCTTATTCCATCTTTTTGGTTTTTCATGCTCTCTTCTCCCTTACTGAATTTGTAGTCGATTTTACTCTCCATCTTTGTACTGTTTGTTTTCATTCTGATGATTACTACCCTAAATCTTGAAGTTGTGGCACCTACGCATGATCTAACATTTCTCCTGTACTGCTAGTGCAAATTCTTATTCATCAAATGCTTTATTCTCACTCATGTCAATTTTCAACATCATACTTGACTGCTTTGTTGTCTTTGAAGTTTTAACCCACACCTATCCCGTGAACACAAGAGCTCAGCTCACTTTCTATTGCGTTAAAGTTAGACGTTTATCTAAGAAATATCTTAATATGACATCGCCTCACCCTGTGCCTAGGCAAGAACGCCAAGCTGGGCTTTAACAACGACTTTGATGCCCAAATATCCTAAGAAGGCTTATTTGGAGCCTCTACAAGAAATTATTAATACTACCTAATAGTCTAATCGTCTAACAGTCATAACAATCTAATATCAACTAAAACATTAAATTACATTTACTCTCTAACACTATTCCTTGTATAATAGATTCAAAATAATTAAACTCGTTATAAGTAGATAAAACTCCATTTTCAATAATATTGCTTAATTCTCATCAATTTGACATCCACTAAAAATGTGTATCATGTACTCTGTAATTTTTGCAATTGAGCCTAATGACGATGATAATGATGAATACGTTACTGGGTTAATCACAACAGGACTGTTGCTATGAGTTTATTTGAAGCTTAGGCTCTAAATTGTTTTGTTTTAGTTAAATCTTTGTTGTTGTTTATGTCACAATATGATTTCCATTGACCTAATTGTACTTTTGACCCCAATCGGGAGATGCAATTTTACCCTGCATCTTTTTGCTTCATTCATTTTTATATCAAACTGTACGCATGCCTTAATTGATTTCTCGAGGCCTGGCCCCAGTTAGAGAAACTATACTCTGCTTTTAATATCACTCCAGTAGCTCTACCGAAGTTTTGGAGTTCTATACTAGACTGTCATTGCTTGAGTGGTAAAATATAACTTCCAATTTAAAAAGATTGACAAGTTCAAAAATCAAGAGAACTATTCCAATTTATAAATACTACCTTGACTGCTAAAGATATCCATATTTTCTTTGTGAGCATCACAATTTTCCAAATTGTTGGGATGAAGCTTTGATAATTCAAGAGGATTTTAAGTTACGTATTTCAAACTTCTGAAAAGTGAAAATCAAACACGCTATAACGCACAACTTTATTTTACTTTTTGGTAGTAGTTCTCAGTTCTGCTTTTTTTGTGAATTTTTTTTTGTTAATCATCTCGCTTAGGTTAGAATAGTGCTTTGAAATATAGGGCATCTTAAAATGTATTAATTACAATGGAGGCAATTAACTATTGCTTCAAGCTTTAGCACTATAAAACCTTCCTCAGACGGTTTGGTTTTCAGTAAATTTGGGATGCTCTTTAGATTTCGCACCTTTGTGTGCGGATATTGTGTGTGACGTGCCACCTCGTATGGCCTGGATGAGAAGCCTTGTCGTTCCATTTATACCGGATAAAAGAACGACAAAGTGCTTGATCTAGGATGGAAGCACAAACTAAACAGTTTCAACCTTTCAAAGTTCCATCCCAACTACCCCTGCTGAGAACTGTAACGAGTAGGAACAACTAAAATGGAGAAAGACGACATAAATGTCGGTTTTACTTGGAAACTGAAACTTGAAATCAACAACAGCTAATGGTTTGCAATAAAAGCATACATTCAGGTTGGTACCACAGTTGGAATCCATATAAATTCAAAACCTAAAATAATAAAAGAAGACGAGAGCGGCAGCACAACTTGAGCGGAGCATCAAGTAGCTGTCATATTTCATTAATCAGGAGGAATGGTGTTGTAGGTCTTTCATGGTTCACTTCTTAGCGAAAAGGCCTCCAAAGACGCCGCCACTGCCATTAGATTTCTTGCTGCCGGGGACAGAGATGGAGTTGGGGGACTTGCGGCGAGTCGTACCAGTGTCACTGCCATAGTTTTTCTCATCAACCTTCTTGAGGATTGGATCCGTCTCAACTAGTTGATCCTCTTTACGGAGGCCGCCCAGTATCCAATCGAAGAGCCCCTTCTCCTCCGCACTGCCGCCGGTGCTTTTGGCAGTCGCTGTCGCCTGAAACACCTTTCCGCTCACTGCTGCCGATGCAGCAAAAGCCATGCTTACAGATCCCATTGAACTTGTTGCTGCGTTCTCCACGGCCAAGAGAGACGTTGAGTTTCTTGAACCTCTTCTCCTCCATTGGTTTTTATGGAATCTCAGCGATCAAGTTGCGCGCCGGATGTATGCACCTTTTGTGGGTGATCAGACGGTTCTGAGTGTGCTTACGTTGGACCTTTTGGTGGGGAAGAGTATTGGCGGCACGAGCCGTCCACAAGTGCCTTATCTCATTAAATCCTTGAATTCCTGGCTGTCAAAGTTTATGGTCGGTAGCAGTTCCGGCTATAACTTAGTTTTTTTTTTTTTTTTTAAATATAATTTAGGGTTTAGCATAATTACAAAATGGCATATGCAGATATGCTCAATATAAAACTCGTAAAGAAATGCAAAAAAAATCACAGGAGCTGTAACAAAATTAGCAATAATTAAAATAGGACAGCCTTCTAGAAGAAATGTCTTAGAGAGATTTTCAAAAAAATTAAATTCTTTTTCTCAGAATGATAGACAAAAGTGCTAGCCATTTCCAGTCCTAGTTGCCAATTGACCGTCCAAGAGAGGAAGGGTAGAACAACCATTCATCAAAGTCTAGAATGCACACAAAAGTCCTCTAGTTTTCTGATAATTTTTCCAACTCAAAATTTTAACATCAATGACCTTCTTGATATGGTGATACAAAGTTGATGTTTTGTTTTGAAACATTCTATTATTTCTTTCTATTTACAGATGATATATCACGCAACAAATTGAATTATAGCAAACATTTTTAATCGCCTGAGAAGCAGTGTGCATGCATCAGTAATAAATTCAAACAACTGATGCTTATTCAGCCTTAACAGAAATATGGAAAAGAATGGATAAATGTTGCAAAGAATGCTAAAAGTATAATTGCATTCATAAAACAAGTGCCTTATGCTTTTAGGTTGAAAAAAGCAGAAATTGCAGCAAATATTTGCTGGGATAATTCTGCTAATTAAGGCACTAGCAGTTTTCAATTCCCCAACCAGAGCTAACCATGAAAAAATAAAATATCTCGAACTTTTTATGCCTTATAAATTTACTCCAAGGCACCTAGGGAAGATTGGAATAATTTGAGTTAAGAAAAACCCTGGATTGAGGTTTATTTGAACGCAACCAAAGAATGCTCTCACCATATTTAGTATAAATAAGCATAGCAGATATAATATCACATAAAACATTAGGAAAAGAAGCGAGGAAGTGTCATCTGCTGTATTGAATAGAGGCATTATGTCGAGGCTAGGGGGATAGAAGATATGTCAAATATATCACTTAAAGATCTGTCATTACACTATGGATTACAGAATTGTGAGATTTTATTGCCATCACCAATTTTAAAAGATATGAACCTCTTAACCTCATTAGCAACAATCATTAGAATCTTCCAAGTTTGTGAAATATTAATAGTGCCCAATTTCCACAAAAAAAATCTTTTTATTCTCTGGTGGCAAGCACACTCTGAAGTATCTGAGAATCTCTGAGAAAGTGGCTTTTATAAGTAAGTGAAAATGGCAAGTACGTTTTGTAACCCTAAAAGTTGTATTTTACAGTTTCATTGTTGCCTTGGTATTTAAAAAAAAAATTTGTTACCTTGGTATTTTAATGATTCTTTATTACCTTTTTGACTTCATTGTGATTTCATCTTTTTGTCTGAATATTGACATTTGTGATGGGTCAGATTAAGAAGGCCCTACAGGCTAGTTATGCTCAACCCGTTCTTTTAATATTTTAGGAAAAGATAAAGGCCCTACAAAATAAATTAGGTATAGAGGCATGATTTTTGACCCAGGTTAATGAGGTACTATTTTTGTAATATAGTATTTAATTATTTGATGTATAGACTTTTGTGATTTGGATTATTATAATTATGTTTTGAGAAAATGAAATATGTTTATATTGCTTTTATGCTTTGAAATTTTAGTAGCTCTAGTTGTTACTATTGAATGGTTAAGCTAAATAATTATAAGTTTAAGAGACCAATTCTTCCATTAGATCCTAGGGTCACAAGGCTGACATGAAACTTTGTGCCATTTGATTGGACGATTGATTATGAAAATAGTTTTCAAAAGTTGAATTATTTGATATCAACACCTATTCTAATAATTCCGTTTGGTATTGAAGGATTCAAAGTATTGAGTTATGTATTGTTGAAAGGTTTGAGCTGTGTATTAATGTAGCATGGTAAGATGATTGCTTATGTCTCCATATAATTAAAACTAGTAAAGAACTATCTTACTCATGAATTGGATTTAGCTTTTTTTTTTTTTCCGTTGAAGATTTGGAGGCATTATCTGTATGGAGACAAATAAGAAATTTTTACTGATAATCAAAATTTGAAATCTATTTTCATTTAGAAGGAACTAAATTTAAGATAAAGAAGATGACTTGAGTTGATTAAATATTATAATCTTAGTATTCAATGTCAACCTGATAAAGTTAATGTGGTAATGAATGCATTGAGTAGGAAGTCCTCAGGAGTAGCTAATTGGATTATTATGTTTGATATGTCACTTATTTTTGATATGGAGAAGTTGGAACTGGAAGTAATTCGAATAATTGATATGGATATTGGCATGCTTATTTAGAAGATTGTATGGCCTACTTTGTAGAAGAAAATTTATGAAGCTCAAAAGACTGATGAGGAGTATATGAAGTTGATAAATCATATTCAATCAAAAAGGAGACCTGAGTTATAAGTAGATGATAATGGAGTGTTAACCTGTAAAGGCATATTATGGGTTTCTAGTGGTGTGAGTTTAAGGAAAGTGGTTTTGCATGAAGCACGTTATTTTGGGTATGCAATTCACCATAGGAATAGTAAGATGTGTCATGATTTGAAGTTCATATTTTGGTGACTAGATAAGTTGCAAAATTTGTTTCGAAATTTGAAACATATCAAATGTTAAAAGTAGAACATTAGCAATCTTGTAGTCAATTGCAACCCTTACCTATTCCTGAGTAGAAGTGAGAAGCGATTACTGTCTTTTGTTATGAGATATCCAAGGTATAGGCAAGGATATGATGCATTCTGGGGCGTAGTTGATATATTGACAAAATTTGCTCACTTTCTACCTACGAGAAAAACAAATTCCATTGAAAAGTTAGCACAGTTATTTGTACTTGAAATTATTAGATTGCATGAGATACTGAAGTTTATTATTTCTAATCGTGATAGTAGATTTACTTCTACATTCTGGAGAAGTGTCAAGGAAATTCTAGGGATTAGATTAAATTTCAGTACGACTTTTACCCGCAGATATATGGATAATCTGAAAGAACCATCCACATACTTAAGGATTTAGTAAGATTATGTAGACTTAATTTTAGAGGAAGCTGGGAAGATTACATATCTTTGATTAAATTTGCTTATAATGACAGCTTTCAGTTTAGTATTGAAAAAACATCATATTAAGTTTTATATAGTTGCAAGTGTAGGACATCTTTATTTTGGACAAATGTAAGAAAAAGAAGACTTTTGGGGCCAGTTTAGTGGATGATATTACTAAAATGATTAGACTGATTAGGGATACCCTAGAAGCATCCCAAGATAGGTAGAAAAAAAATATTTTGATTTGAAGCATTGGACTGTGAAATTTTAGATTAGTTATTTTGTGTATGTGAAATTTAGCCCATTGAAAAGTATGAGTAGGTTTAGGAGGAAGGAAAGGTGAGTTTGAGATGTATTGGACCATTTGAAGTGATAGGTAAAATTGGAAAGTCTTCTTATCAATTACTATTATCATATCATATGTTAGATATTCACTATGTATTCTATGTGACTTTATTAAGAAAATGTGTTACAAGTATTGAAAGAAAAATTCTACAAGTTGAAATAGAAGTACAACCTAATTTGACTTATAGAGAGGATCCTGATTGTATCTTGGCTTATGATGTCAAGAAATTGAGTAAAAAATAGATTCTATGGTAAAAGTAAGATGAAACCAAAGAACTGATATAGATGTAACAAGGGAGAGAAATTGAAACGAGACAAACTATATTCAAATCTATTTGGCTGATGAGAACCTATATTCAAATATATTTGATTGATGAGCACATATATTGAAATACCAGGATAAAATTTTTCTAAGGGGAGATTATAAGGGCAACTTTTGTAGTAACTATATCACCTAGAATGTTCTGACTGAAATCTGGTATGACTTAAGGATTTTTAGCATTTATTGATTTTATTTGGGTTTTAGAAATTATTTTCAATGTTTATGTAGTCATACATGATTTTTGTGATTTTAATTAGAAAAAAAATTAAGGAATTTGATAAGTAGAAACTAATCTTGGGGGCATCGTGGCGCCATGATCTTTGATTGGAGAGCAATGTTGGGTGTTAAAGAGGAGCATAGCAGCACCGTAGTACAAGTGTTGTAACCCTAATATCTCTGTTGATCAGCATGACATCATTGGGATGGAGTGCTGCGGTGCTAAGCTTTATGTTTTAATGTTTGCAAACTTCTTGTGGGAGCGCTACAGCCCTTGGAATGGTAGCGTTGTAGCATTAGGTTTATAAATATTAAAATCCATTTATGAAAAAAGCATTTCAGCTTTTAAGGCTACCGATTTTAGAGAGAGTGATGGAGAAATATTAGAGAGAAAAAGTATGTTTCTGAGGTTTTAGAATCAATTTTTCCAGTTGGGCTAGTTGGAGGATTCTTTTAGATTGAGGTAGGCTATCGTCACCCTATCTCAATTTTCAATTTGGATCATTTGCGTGAGAGTTTTGATTAATTATTTGATTTAAGGAAGTTTAGAAAAATTTATATCTTGTAAATTTTAGTATGTTGTAGAATAAAACGTTCTCGTCACCTTGACAATAAAAACTCATATTTTTATGAAGTATTTTAATTGCACGGAATTTTAAGTATTTTAGTGGGTATAGTGACACTGGCATCAATGACAATAGAACAATGAAAGCTTCAAAATAATATTATGAATATCATTCGTGAAAGGTTTTATAAATTGTGAAGGTTACATGTGTATACAGGTAATCCGCCAAAAGCACTACAATAAATGCTTTGCAATTGAAGTTTTAGTATATTTCTTTGTTATGTTAGATACTATTTATTATTGTTCACATTGTTTATTCTATTCTTATTATTCACATTGTTTATATTGTTCACAATGTTCATGCTATTCATATATGTTAAAAGGATTGTTAACTATATGTTCCTTTGATTGAAAAATGTGTAATAATTATTGGGGATATATAATGGCCTGAGTAACTAAATGAATGAATGGTACTTTGCACAGGAGTTATAAGAGCCTGATACTATATATGTATACCATCGGAATGCATAAGGGCCTAACACCATATATAAAAAATATTTGGAAGGCATAAGGGTTTGAGGGAATTGGTGTAATGTGATATTGTATATGTGTATTATCGGGAGGCATGAGGGCCTAACACTGTACATGTGGATCATTGATAAATATTCAGGAGTTGTTTCTTGTGTTTAAATGCAAGCTAGTTTCACTAAGTATTTTCTTATTTCAGTTGGATTACATTCATGATTAGCTTTAAGCCCAAATCATTTTTGCTTTAGTCATGGATGATCTTACTATACATTAGTAAGAGGATATAATTAACTTGATGTATGCTTTTTGTTGATGGTATTCTTCTTGTTGATAAGATTAGAGAGAGAGTTTATGAAAAACTTGAATTATGGAGGCCAACCTTAGAGTCTAAAGGTTATTGTTTGTGTAGTTCTAAAATCGAATATATATATATATATATATTAGTAATAATAGATATGTCGGTGGGAACATGACATTGAGTGATATAGTCTTTTAAAAAAGTGTGCGTTTTAGATATCTCGGATATATTGTTCAAATCAATGGTGAAATAGATAGGGATATTTTTAGTAGAATTCAAGTTAGATGGTTGAAGTGGAGGAATACATCGAGCCTGTTCTGTGACCTGTTCTGTGATAGAAAAGTGCCCTTCAAATTTAAGAGAATTTTTTATGTTGGTGGTCAGACCTGGAATGCTTTATGACACAAATTATTAGCCATGGTAAGAGAAGCCTAAAATAAAGTTTAAGTGTTGTAGAGATAAATGCTTATGTGGATGAGTGTCTTTACACTTAGAGACATAATGTTAAATGATATATACGTTAACAAGTTGGAGTAGCTTTGGTGGCAAATAAGATTTGAGAGTTTTCTTAGATGGTTTGGTCATATAAAACATCAGCTTTTTGGTGATTCTATTAGCGGATAAGATGCAAAAAGACCCCTAGAATTTGCTTTAGAATATATGTAGACTCTCACATGCATGCAAAAATTTCTAAGTACATAGAGTATAGTTTAAATGCATAAATTAACAAATTACCTCAAATATGATAAGGTCAGAACATGTTAAACTGAATACTGAATTTGGAGGTGTTACAACTCTTTCCTCCTAAAAAGTTATCACCATCTATATTTCAGAACTCAGATCATCATACCATATTGGGATATAATTTCCTCATCTCTTATTCTTTTTCCTAAATAGTTTCTCTTTATGTTTTATTTTTTCACTAAATTTTAACCATTGAAATATATTTGTTTCTCAACTTTTTGACATAATAAGACAAAATTGTCACACTACAGCATCTATATTGGAAGAATTACATCTGTATTTTGTTTTAATCATTTAACTAGAGCTTACCAATGAACAACGGAAAGAAACATGATTGCATTTTGTCTAGAATTGTAGGTAAAAAAATTATGCATATTGTCTGGAGCCTTATATCATATGATCCTTACAATTTCTTGAAAATATATAAAACCATATAATGTACATAACCCAGCAAGAAATTCAAATCTTACAAGAGAAATTAATGCAAGATACAAGAGAACAATATGCTATAAATCATATAAAGAAATATATGCATTAATGTCTATACTAATTATCTGTATCAATTTATCCTTTTATAGTTCATCATATCTCAATCCATTACATCATCAGTCACAATATTAGTAATAGTCAACAATATTAATGTTAATAACAATATTCGTATCATGATCAATAATGATAAATAGTGTTAATGATAATAAATAATATTAGTGTCAGTCATAATATCAATATAATATTCGTAGTAGTATCAGTATTTAGCTATTCAATGAGTGTATCTTAAGAGTATCTTAATCATAAACTTATGACTCTCAATCAGTCGTCTCTCATAACTCCTAATCAATGTACTCCTTATAACTATCCTTGAATCACGTGAATGAGTTGCCCTGACTCTTTATAACTCCCAATCAATCACCCGCTCCTTATGACTCTCAATCAGTAAATCAATAAAATATCACGTGAAGTTATCATATCATATATTTGATATCATTCAATAGTTCATTTAAAATGTAATAAAAATTATATCAAATCGTTCAGAATGATCAAATCTATAACATATACAACTTGCATGGTGAAAATTTATGAAATCAAAAGATAATATATTTTTCCAAACAGATTTAATAGAGATAAATCCTATAAATTAAAATCATCAAAAGCAAAAATAAGAAGATAATTACTTACAATGAATAGAATAAAATCTGTAACATGAATGACTAACAAATATGATCCAAAGACATTTCTCTCTATTATTCTCTTCTTTCAATTTCTTCCTGGCCAAGCAACCAAGGGAGTCGGTAGAGTGAGGCAGACACACACACAAATATATATATTATTCATGGTCTAGTCCTGCAGCGCTAATCAGATTAGCGCCAAAGCACTCTACTTCAGAATTTTCATATTTTTCAAATAAATTTATTTCACTTATTTAAGTTATTACAAAAATATTTCTTCGGCTCTTCCCTGTAATTCAATTTCAGACATACTTCAACTTATTCAGTAAATATTTTATTCCTAAAATCAGATATCTATTTTCTCAGAAGTGACATTTAAAAAATATTGTGTATGTCAGACATGATCTGACAATTGTAACTTGCAGACAGACTTTCAAATCCTTTCAATGACTATAAATGGTCCAACGTATCTTTGACTTAACTTTCTTTTCTTGTCAAATCTGCTAATGCTTTTATTGACTTGATTTTCACAAATACAAAATCTCTAACCAAAAATTTTATAGCTCAATGCATAATATCAAAATATTATTTATATCTATCTTGTACATCTTTTAATCTCTTTAATAAAAAATATTTTTTCAGTAGCATCATCAACCAAAGTTGGCCCAATCAGATTCCTTTTACCCACCTCTGTCCAGGGTAGAGGGGTTTTATATTTTCTACTATATAGGACTTCATAAGGGGTCATACTTATGCTTGACTTAAAATGGTTATTGTAAGCAAATTCGATTAAAGGAATATGATCATCCCAACTGTACCAAAATTAAAGACACATAATCTCAGAAGATCTTCCAATACTTGGATAAATCTTTCAAACTGTTTGTAGTCTGCATATGCAAAAGTGTACTGAAATATAATTTCATACTCAAACTCAATCGAGTACTTGTCCAAAGTATGGCATTAAATCTATCATCTTTGTCAGAAACAATCACCTTAGGTATCTCATGCAATCGAATAATCTTATAAACATATACATGTGCTAATCTATCCACAAGATCGGACTGTCAGATAGGAATGAAATGAGAGATTTCATAAAACGATCCATTATAACTCAAATGGCATCATGCCCCTGTCTCGACTTGAGAAAACCAATAACAAAATTTATCGTTTACTCTTCTCACTTCCACTTCGAAATAGGGAACGACTGTAGAAAATCTCCTAGTCGCTAATGTTATGTTTTTACTAATTGACATGCTTCACATTATGGAGAAAAATCTATCTCTTCTTTCTTTAATCCAGGCCAACCAAATATACTTTTCATATCAATATATATTTTGTTGCTTCAGAGATGACTAGTATATCCTGGATAACTAGTCATCATGGAATAATCATTATTGATTCAGATAATATTTTAGTTAATAAGATATATAGGGACTTATTTAAGGTAATTGATATAATTGCAGATCTATTAGATTATTTATTTATGAATAAATTAGGAGGACAATTATACTTTTTATTAAACATTAAGAAAATAAAAAAATAATAATTATGCAAATTAAGTAGGTATTGATTAATAGTTTAAATGCTAGATTAGACCAATTTATTAGGAAGTTAAGTACTGATTAATAATTCAATATAATTATGTACTTTAATAATTCTTTTATGCAACTCGACAGTATTAATTACAGATAGACGATAATTCAACATTACTCATTTTAAATATTCCATTAATGATGAGAAATAAGTCAATTATTCTGGTACTCCTTATACCAAGTTCTAAAAGAAATCTTACAGCAGAGATATTTTCATGGAGGAAAAAATTGAATTAGAATTTGTTTTGTATAATTTGCAGATAGTTGGAAATATAAATATAATAGAAAATTAAAAGATCATAGGCAAGTAAAATTTCTGCCAAAAGTTACATATATTTTTTATTTCTATTTATGCTTTTATTTTACATTTGTCGTTTTCCACCATCGCACAATTGTCATATTAATTTCTTAAAAGTTTTATATATAGCTGAATTTGTGTTCACTGCTCACATATTAAGTCTATGGCACTATGAAGACATTGCCTGGTAAAAATGTTATAAGAAAAATCTCATTGAAATTCATTCCTTTAACATCCTCACCGCTGCTCTCTCTCTCTCTCTCTCTCTCTCTCTCTCTCTCATACACACAAACTCGAACAAACACGATGGAGTAACTATCAGTCTAGCTAGCTAGCTGCCCTGGACGGATAATAGGAAGCCATTAGGTAGTAGTATACGTATTATTGAAGTGAAATTAGAAGAAGCCCAAGGAGAGGTCCAATGGCGGCTCTATTACAGCATCGAATAAGTTCAGCTCTCCTACCATGTTATTTCTCAGAGGAGAGTTCCTGACCAACTTGTACTGATCCGCTTCCACAACGTCGTAATCATCGTTAGAAGTCAAGGGAAACAACTCAAGCGTCTTCTTCTTTCCTCTCTTCATCTCCTCTGCTTCGTTCCAGATACCTGCATGCTCACGCAGCACATTCGCGTTTGTAAACAGTTAATTAATTATATATATTCCCTGCATAAAATTATAAGTAGATAGAGTATGTCTCGAAGACACTTCACATCTTTTGTATGATACATTGATATGATGATAGACCTGGCAGTTTAGTTATTTGGAACTCCCTGCGGTCCGAGTGATCTAAAACGAAAAGATCTGTATGCACTGGTGACGTCGGAGCTGGTGGAGGGCGGCGGCGCTTCTTGTTATAGTGGTGGTGTCGTTCACGGGCCTTGTGGTTTTGGAACCAATAGAAGACGTTCTTGTTCTCAATCTTGCCAAAGGAACTGAGGTGGGAGGAGATCTTCTGAATTTGCTCAGTGCTTGGGGTTCGCAGCCCCGCGCTAAAGAGATCCGTCAGCACCTTCACTTGCTCAGCCGTCGGATTCCACCTTCCGCACTTAGCTCCCACTCTGCTGTTGCACAGCCCGGCCTCCTCCATCTGATCCCTGGCACCACTCCCCTGCTTAAATATAATTATATATCTCTAGCTCAAAGTTTGCAAAACAGCCTAAACTTGTCTCTCTTCCTTGTGACGTTCTATTTCTGTTCTAGCTTCTCTTCTATTTCGTCTTCTCTTTGGAAATCCGTACTAACTCTGTTCTAGGAGGTGGCTAGCTTCTGATGAAGCTTTTTGTTCCTGACCATTTACGCACTTCTGCTCAACAGATTGCTAGGATATTTGATTGAGTACTGATGAGGTTTACATATATATATATATACTAGACTTCTAGTGCTTTTTTACTTTTTAGTGAGACTTGGTGGGGGGATATTGCAATTCATGATAATAGCTAGTAGTAGTGTAAGTGGAGACAAGCGCGAAAGCTGCCACTGTTGAAAACGTTTGGTACTCCGAGGGCAGACATCCTTGTTTTCTTTATTCTGGTCTTGCATATAAGATTGTCGTGTTTAATCGAGCCCTTGTCTTATTATGCGTCTCATTGCATATGCTATCTTTATTATAATCAATTCCAAGTGATATTACTTTTAATTACAAGTTTCAATTCCTGGCGTTTCCTGCTTAATTAATTGGCCTCATTTGAGCACCCGGGATTGGTCGTAGCGTTGACTATACATTTTGATTGTCCGGATGTCGTATGTCCCTAAATAAATCTTTTTGGACCGATTTTTTCTTATCAATGACAGATTAAGGCCTTCTTGCAAAACTTATATTGATGTGCTGTAAATTTTAGGGGAATGAGCTTTTAGATTAATGTTAAAATTAATGATGTAAATAATATATTGATTTGTATTAATTTTAATGTAAATTTAAGAATTTAGAAGTCAATCATAATGTGTTATACATCATAATCTTCTGTCATAAATTTTTATTTATTTATTAAAATTACTTTGAATTTCTGTATGTTATGAAGGCCTTCTGTCAATAGCAATTTTCATAGCTATTTCAAATTTATTAGATTAATGTATTTTAATTGCTAATAAATAGCAACAATTAAAACTACTGCTAGCATTTAATAATTAAAGTCCGTATTTTTAAATTGCAGCCATTCAAATAAATAAAACAGGAAGGAACTTTAAATAATTGGGTTAGTTTCATATATTTATTCATATTAATAAATTAAAAATTCTAACTGATCATTGATAGCAACTAAAAATTTGACATTTAAAAATTGACTTTACATGAAAAATATATCTCCGTCCAGAAACAATTAATCAGCATTCAAAATTTCCTTAAAATGAATGGGAGATGTTCTAGCTTATGAAAGTGACAAACTAAGACAAGCATGAGGAGAACATTTGGTGATGACTGAACAATGGATGGCGAAGAAAGTCAGAGATCTTATGGTTAGGACATGCAAAACATGTGTTTTTCGGGATGCGAAGGGGGCTCTTGGGAGATATCGTTTAGAATAGAGAGCTCGATATTTAAAGCAGCTTTCTTTACTAGTACAAATTATTTGGGACAGCTTTTTGTTGAATAGCTATAGTTTTATTCGCTGAGAGTTTCTTACCATGGTTTTAGCGGCTTCAAGTACATGGATGCTTTTACAATTATAGAAGGTCTAACTCAGCTCCAACAAGCATTGGTTAATCTATTTTGGACTTAATTTTGTTCATATCATGCATCCTCATAAATAGACAAATAGTTATGTTGCTTTTCTGGGCTATATATTAGTGGTTCGTAGTACATGAAAAAAATAAAGTCATGTTTCAGTTGATTTTTAGTACAAAAAAATTTAAGATGCAGTATGATTAGACGTTGACTAGAGGTAGCCATGCTCCGAAGCTTTAAAGGCATATTGTCAACAATTGTTGAATTCATTAAAATGTGTAGAGATGTTTGGTTTATCATGACGGCTAAAAAATTGATGAATTTTGTGTTGCAGAGTATGATTTTGAGTGGGGCATCTTCAGTTTCGTTATTTATATTGAAACATCGTGATTTTGGGAAAGAAATAGCTTATTAACTATAATTTGACTTTTGAAAAAATTGAAGGTGTTGGTTAAGGGAAAAAAAAAAAAGTATTGGAGAAGTTCAGGTGGATTAATCTTATATTTGTAGTCTATCCTTATATCTTGGTATCAAGTGATATAATTATAATATGAAGAGCAAAACAATAATTTCACATAAAAAAAAAGGTTGAATTCCAAATACACCAATATTAGTTGTTGCCATTATAATAAGCTTTCAGGTTGATAAATGGTCATCTACAAATATATCAAACTAAAACTTAATCCTCATTGTTCCCCTCTCCTGCCTGATGATAGTGGAACTTGTAGCTAGACTGCACTCATTAGGCTAGGCTAGGTTTGCAGCTTATTTTTAATGTTTTATGAAAGAGATCCTACTCATGAATCATGTTTAATATGAAAATGCATCCATCTATAATTCACCATTCCAAATGATACAGAATGGATTTAGGAAGTTGTATTTGTTTACAGTTAAAGTAATGCACATTTCTAAATACTTACTTATATGTATAATGGCATCGTTATGAGCATATATATTGTTGGCATACATTGCATTTTTTTTATTTTTATTTATCTTATAGTAATTAGTACTGGCCTTCTGGTATAATTATTAGCTAGGCATAACTTTTGAAATAAAAATGGTATCCTTGAAAGTTGAGTTGTGTCATCCTTTTAGGGTGGCGATTTGCTTATATTAGTGATCTCTTTTTTGAGTGCCTCTATTAAAAGGGTCCAAGCAGAAAACAAGTAGAGAAGAAACTTTCTGAAAAGGCAGAGCAATTAGGAAACAGGTCTAACCTTTTGTCATGGAAATTGGTATCCATTATTTTCCTTTTGCATTGAAACTATTGGACTAGAAAAAGTAGAGTGTGAAGTCATGCCTACAAATCCCACCCCATCGAGTGCAAAGCAAGCCCACTAACCGATTATAACACGTCCAGTACTCTTTGAGTTCAGAGATTTAGTTCTTTATTAGTACAAATTATAACCTTTCAAATATAGAATTATCATCTAGATGTATGCATTGCTCTTTCCAACTACTTTACCAATTTTAATCTTTTCCTATGGTTTCCGAGGCTTGCATGCACTGAAAATCCGTTTTTCCGTGCGCTTCAGCTTCATGCAATTCCCAATGTAGTCCCACATACCCAAGCTCTCTCTCTCTCTCTCTCCCTTTAGCCTTTTCCATCTCCACTCACGGCCATCTACCTCTAGGCTGTCTAGGATTAGCTTCATTTTGCCCCCATCTCATCAGTTTAATATATAACTCATCAAATTATGTTATCATAAAAAAATGTCCAATCTTTCAAGAAAAAACACGTATCTTCACCCAGCCTAGTAACTCGGGCCAGTTCCATCGAGATACACATGAACTTTGAAATATTTCAAACCAGGTGATTTTATAAACCAACAAATCATTAAAAATAAATTCTTTTTGTTCAATTTCTCCTCCCTATGATTTGTTTGATTTCTTTTACTGATATAATTTAAATATTTTTTAATTAATTATTATTGGGATATTAGGATATTTTAGTTCATTTGATTTGAAATGTTTAATCTTTTATGATAAGTTTGGTTCAACTTCAATTTTTTTTTTTATATTTAAGTCAATTAAGTCAAATTCATACATATCTTACATATGCACAATTCAAATTCAAAATCTCTTAGTTGATAATCAAAGTTCTCAACCAACGTGCCAAAATGATTTAGATGTTTGAATTTAAATTTGATAGGATATTTTTTGGTCCTCATTTTTATTTTTTACTTTGTATGTGAATTTTTAGTAATAAATGAGATCCTCCCGCTCTGACATGTAAGTAGGTTATTTTTAAAAATGATTCTCTACATCATTAGTGTCATTTTCGGATATTTGATCTTCATTTCTTATTTATAAAAAAAGAAAAGGGTTTTTTTTTTTTCTGGTATTCGTATATAATAGTAATGTGAAATATGATGGACCATGTACATGAAATATTAAGGTGACAAATTTGATGTTTTGAAGAATTTTTGGCTTTGAAAAATAGTTAATATGAGGTATATTAATTGAGCAGGGGTTTGTTAAATCACTTACGACATATATATTCAATATGTGAGAGACTAAAAAGAGGAATTACTTTGGCAAAAGATATTTTTGGTGGATGCATTTGAATACATTATTATTTTTGAAATCAGCTGGAATGTGCATTTGAATCTATTGCCTTGTCTTAAATTAATTAAATTGTGTATACATACATATTATCTTCTAATTACATCATTTAAATAATTAATTATGGGCTCCAATTCGCACCTATTTTCTATAGGCGCAAGCCCATATAATTAATTACCCCTCTCGATAGCAAGAGAGAATTTTCAATTAATGCTAGTTGTCAAACAAATATGTAGTATATGGCATATAGTAACAACATGTTTATGTATTTAAAATTGAAAATTTATCACCTTGCACTTAAAGCAGATGGTGGAGGGAGTGATGATGGACCCGATCAAGATCTCATGGTTTCGTTGTCCCAATTCATCATGATTCATGGTTTACTTAGTCAGAGGAGGTAGTTGACCCAACCTAACAGAGTGATCCTTGTCGGTAGCCATGTGTTTCTTCATCCAATAATACCTTATAGACTTGGGGGTGAATATTTGTCTAAGATGATAAATTTGAATTCACCTTAGCTAACAAAGGACTTTGTGCCTTATTAGTTATATCATATTGACTAATTACTCAATGATTTAACACCATTGGGGAACATATGTGCGCTGACCATAAACATTATTTAATGGTGTCATTTGACGACAAAATCATCGATTAGAGCACATATGTCACATTCTTACTAACAAATGATAGATCGAGAATGAATCTTAATGATGTTCTCGACCAGATATTTTCTTTTTGTAAGATGAAGTGATTTTCAAATTTGTCCACCTCGGCAAATTATTGTGGAGGGTGGATGAGTATTTTGATGTTTTTATTTCAATTTTAAATATCTTAGGTTATGGTGATTTTTTAGTTTTTTTTTAACTTTTCATGGGAATTTGAAAGGCATCTTTAAATATTTGTGGTCCTCTTCAGTTAAGATTTTTTATCTACACGGTCATCATTAGTGTTGCCTATGTGCAATTTTTTATTTTGTTAGTCGAACATTGTCGGCTTTGTCCACTTGA